AAAACATTTATTCCTTTTAAATTATTTTTTAACCTGACAGTACTTGAGAGCTGATGAATTTAATTGCATGCAAGTTTTGCTGTTTCCTTTTGCTATACAGTAACCTACATATATTGAGTGTTTGGGGTTGGGAAGGAAGTAGAAGTATCTCTTTAGTTCCACTTATGTTGGCTTAAATCAAGGCAGTTTTGTTTATGCTTGTTGTTTTGGAACCAATGAAGAAGTTAAGATGCTTACAGTTTTTATAACCTGATTAAGAACAAGCTTATGAAATATAAAACAAGCATATGAAATATAAATCATTTTAAAACCTTTGTTTAAATTTGTATACAGAAAACCCCTCAAAACCAGTTGCTTTTGAGCTAACAATTTTTTTTTTTTTTAAATCTACACCATTCAGTCAAAGATGGTGATTTGTTTGTCTTACTCTGTGAAATTGTGAAACTTCTCAACATTATTTACAGGTAATTGTTCTTGGTTGAAAAGTGAAATTATCTGGGTTTGGAATGTTTTTCTTTATCTTTTGTTTTGCTTTTTGTATGCTAGGGTAGGCAATATATTTTATTAATTATACCTAAATATTTGCATGCAATATAATATATGCACATACTTGTATATGTATGCTTGTTTATTTAAATATGATTAAGCAAATAAGTGTGTGTTCACACACATATGGGTAGGAGTGGGGGCAGAAAGGTGTGCTTGTATGTATATGTATGTATGTTCATGTCAATGAATTTTTGTTAATATGCTCTGAAGGGATGGAGACTGTCGTTGCTAAAGGTGAGCTTATAGGGTAGAATGTTAAAAGTTGAAGGACGGGCAACTCTTAAAAAATGACATGTTTTCTCTGGGAGCAGGGAAATGCTTTTGGATGAGTTCTTAAATAAACCATTCCATCCGTTTTCTGCATTTCAGTGACCAATGTTTCTCTTACGAGAAATACATTGCTATTTTGCATTCAACGCTTCTCACTCCTGTAGCATAATTCTCCTTCGTCTTGTTGTTTATGTAATTTTTTGTAAATGAAATTATATTTGTGTTTGTTATTCTGTGTTTTTCAGTATGTGTTTTCTAAACTTGTGCATAATTCTGTTTTAATTTTCTGTAAATCATACGATTGAAATAAGTATAAAATGGTGATGGTTTTAGTACATTTTGATAGATCTGTACCATGAGACACTTTTACGAAATCAAAGGTTGACCTTACTAAATTGCTTTATAATAAATTTGTCGCATTTACTGTCAACTTTGACTGTTTGTTGCTGCCTTGTTCTAGATGTTTAAAAACCAAATAAGGGATTTTTAAGTAAGCCAAACAACATGTAAAAGTGTTAAGGGTCTGATAATTTATTATTTGTCTACGTGACTTATAGATGTTGAAATGTAACACCTTTTAATAGAGATTACAACAATGTGTAGTGCTAAAGTCCCAATTATACAAAAATACCTGTTAAAGAGATTCAGAAACAACAAATACTTGTGCATTCTTTCATCAAGTTGCTTAAGAAATAAAAATGTTTAAAGAAATGCAGCAAGTAAACAGTTTCTAATGAAGTAATGGAATGACAGCCTGTAGGATTTTATATATTAAGAGAAGTATTTTGCTTTACTAAACTTTTAAAAAGGATTACTATACTGATACATTCAATTATTTAATTTAATATATTGAACTTTTAAAACGAGAACTTTGCACTGTGAGCAATCAAAATAAGAACATTATTAGTAATAGATTTTAATGCAGGATTTTTTTTTTAAGTGTTGCTTTGAGAGGATCATTTCACTCCTGACAAGAAAGGATTGCAGTACTCTCTAATTAAAGAATTTTCTATACTGGAAATGAGAAGTCAATTACTAAAATTGTTTTTGAATAGCTAATTTACATATACTTAATTGTATTCATTCTTTTTGAAAGGCTGAATTTGATATTTATAATGTTTTGATTGATTAGTAATGCATTGTTAATGTTAATAGCATTACCAACTAGGTGTCCCTCCAAATGGAACCTGAAATAGTCCTGAATAAATATCTTTAATTAATAAATAAATTAACTTTTTATTTCTTTTGTGAAGACAGACCGTAAATCTTTCAGTCCCTGATTATTTGCAGTGTATGCAATAAAATCTCTTCTACGCAATGTTAAAAAGTGGGCATTGAAACCCATATCAAGTAGCATCATTGGTGAGTACCATAGGAGAGCCTCTAGATGAATATTTTATTTAATATAATAGTGACAGGAATCTGCCAAAATAGCGTACAACCATAGGGACTCCTGGGCTCTTCATTGTACTGGTTACTCAAATAGTGATAGAAGTAGGAAATATATTCTAGATTATGATGGCTAAAAAAATCCAATTTTGAAATGTAAATTTGGTCAAAATTATCTGAGAATTTGTAATCTTCAAATTTGATTAGGGAGAAAAGATTTTGGTTTTCTTCCCAGCTTGGCCATTGACTCCCCCTGTATAACCTTGTACCTGTTACATGAGAAAAAAGCTATTCTTCAGGTGGCCTGCGGGGTAGTATTTTCTCATGCAGTGGGTAGGAAATTAGATGGTGAGTAGTGCTGTTGTTTCATTTGATCAATCTTATTCATTTTACATATGTAATATGGGGAAAATGTTTCACTCACATCTGTAAAATGTTTAGAAAAGTATTATCCAATACGCTAGAAGTATTATCATATACTAATATATTGCACTAGGGTATTAAATCACAGAGAAATTCCACCTGGTACAATAAAAAGAATCCTGTTTACTGACCATCACTTTTACATTTGTGCTCCATTTGCTCTGCTGCTTGCCCACATAATACCAAAGTGGATTTCAGACCCTGGTGTGAATCTTCAGAACTTTCAGGCCTCATGCTGTCTCATACTGCTTTTCCCTTGATAACAACTGCCGTCATCAGAAATGAAATTTTCATGGCGCAATAATATTCATTTGAATAGTTACTTAAAAACAAGAAAAAACATCCATGCTTCTGTTGTTGGAAATAAAGAACAATGTGACTAATTTTCATGGTAATTGTAAGAGTGACAGTGTAGCCAGGATGGCTCAGATAATGCGAGAGGCAAGGTTGATATCTTTTATTGGACCAACTGCCTAGTTGGAATAAAGTTAGACATCTGAAAGTTTGTCTAACTTTATCCAAACTACATAGTCTGTCCAATATAAGGATTTCTTAGGGCAATATCTTGCCTCGCGTTCATGTTCATGTATATATGGAAGACAGGGCTGGGGGCACTTCATAGACTAACTCATTAAAATGCATAAGCTTACGTAGGCAGCAGCCTACTTTGTCAGATGCTATGAATGTAAATGGCTCATTAAATTCTCCCTCCCTTCTTTCCCCCCTTTGGATTTATGTATTTGTAACATGCGGAGATACGATGGTGCTGAATGCAGTATGAACACCTGGATAGTTTCCCTGTACTTCATCATTATATTACAAAGAGATTTGTCTTGTTACTGGAATTAATCTTTCCCATAAGCTTAGAGTGAATACAAAACAAATTGTGTGTGGTAAGAGGTATGTCTGTGGCCATGGAAAGAAAGCAGCCTTCATATGGAAAAAGAGAGCAAGCAGTCTTCCTAATTACTCAGGGGTTTTTGTGTACCACTGAAATATGCATTGGTAAACATGAACTGACACATTTCTAGCAACCAAATTATAAATGAGTGGAAGACCTAAAAATGTCAATTTCTTCCTCAGAAGCATTTCAAGTTTTTTCTCTTTCTCCCCATATTCCCTTCTCTATTACTTCTCTTATTCCTTTATCTTCTGCATTCCTTTATTCCCTTAGGCAAATTAATTCCTTTAAATGTTTCTGTCTATGCTCCAGTATTTTACTAGTCACAGCTTATCTATTTGACATAAATCTTAAATGACAGAGAGGGCTTGGCATGCTAATATTTCATATAGGGTGTGTGTGTGAAATATATATGACATATGTTATGCATCTCCTAAACAGATCTCTAGAAAGGTTTTAACAGAGTGAAAGTGTTGCACTTTTCAGATTCAGCATATATGAAATAAAACTTCACAAACTGCACAAAATTTAAACAAACAAACAAACAAAAAAGGACACCCTAAGTTTCAGAAAACCTGAGACAATATTTGGTGATAAAGGAAGTATGTAGGTTTTTGCAAAGAATTAGAGAACTATCTTGGCAAAATATCCTCAAGCTTATGAAGTTACTAAAAATATTGCATCCATATCTTCTACTCCTGAGGCCAGAGGACAGTCTAAAAGTGCATCAAAAGGCATAGGTACAATTTAAAAAAATTCCCCCAAAGAATACATTATCATTACTAAAACATGGCACTCAAAATTTAAAAGTGGAAAACTGAAGGGGTTAAGTGCTGTTTTGTAAGCTTGAACATACTGTCTTGTACATACTTCAGAATATTCAAGTAAGGAAGAGAGTAAGACAAAATTATATACTTACTCTTTATTTAACAGGAAAGAAGCTAAAAACCAAGAAAAGTCTTTTTATACCCCCAATGTACATATGCTTGTTGTGTTTTGGGATTGCTTAAAAATTACATGGTTTGTAAAACAAGTACCGCCTCCACTTGCATGCATACTGTTTAAAACTTGTCAACTGTCTTTTTATTTTTTGTTTCAATTTTTGTAATTGGGCTTCAATATCCCTTTGCTGTACATTTTTATGCTGAAATACAGATGTTTCTAAATACAGGTTTGTAATACAAATCCTAAGATCATTGTTGCACTATGCAAAAATGCTAGTTAATGACAGATCATTATGATCCTGACTGAGAGAAACACCTTTACATGACAGTGTTTAAGCATGTGTTTAAGTTTCACTGAGGTTAGTACATTTAAGCAAATGCATAAAGGCTTCCATGAACCTTCGCTTGTATTATGAGCCAATTTCAAATCTGATATTTTTGTTTCCAGGAAGGGAGCTTTTGAAGCAAGTCTGAGCAGTACTTAAAGTATAAACTGTATGGTTCTGTTTCTTGTTGTTTTACAGCTCATTGCTGTGTATGATGAACAAGAATCTCACCACAAGATTGATGGCACCAATGGCAGTTTGACAGATGGACACAGCCCAGATCCTTTTGAGATGGAGGTAGCCGCCCAGCTGGCTGCTTTTCAACCAATTGGTGGTGAGATTGAAGTTACACCGTCTGCATTGAAATTGGGTGTGTACCCATTACTTTCTCATTTTTTTTAAATCATCCCCTGTGTGCCTTAGCTGTACTCCTGCTGTTTTATTTTCAGTCTTCCTGCTCACTTGCTTGCACGTGTGCTCATGCTCTCTCTCCCTTTCTCCAGCCAGTCATTGGCTTCTATCTTCAGTGGTGATAATACTGTGATGACACAATACAAAATTTTTCAAAAACAGATTGAAAGGGAATCCCATTGCTATGTGCTTTCAAAGCAGCAGCGCAATCTGATAAATATCCAGCAAACGAATGATCCTGAGAGGAATTTTCCTATGTTGTATTTAAAAAACAAAACCAAAAAAATTATCCTTGAATCTGTGTTAATAATAAACTCAGGGCTTAAACCACAAAAGGGAAAAATAGCGTCTTTTGCCTGTGATTCACCCTAACTGCATATGAGTTGCTGGGGTATCTGATTAGTGTGAGATAAAATTCTTGCAGACTTGGGACTGAAATGTTTTTGCTGCTGGAATATCTGGTGTTAATTTAATTTAATTGCATTTAAAAGAAGCAAGAATACTGATGAAAAGTAAAGCCAGAAATAAACATCCTACTAACATTTTATTGGACAATATAGGTATCTTTAAATTGTTAACAGAAAGATGCTGCTGTAGTAGAATATATTCTAATTTGTGCTTATGAAGGAAAATGTTTACATTTGAGTTTAGTAAAGATTTCAGATTATGCTTTCCACTGTAACTGAATGTTTTTGATTGCTGTTAAATTCTACTTTTTAAAATATTTTTTGTACCTAAATGTGTATGCAAAACTTATTTTTGTCATATAGGATAAATGAAAAGATTTGCATTCATTTGAAGGACCTGCAGTTGAATGATTTGCTATTTTATTTTTATACCTAACTTATATTACATGATGGATATTCTATTCTAACATGTTTCGAAAGGCAAAATCTATTCCCTTAATCCCCTGAAGCCTATTTAAAAGATCAGTAAACACAATCTAATCAAGCTCAATACTCTAATTATAGATTGGGGTGGAACACAGAATTATATTGTATAATTTAGCCTCATGCAACCTTATGTAAAACAGATAATAATTTGGTTTATAATGGCAGTGCCAGTAGAACTTTGATTTTGGCAAAACATAGATTGACCCACTATGTCATCTACCAGATGGGATCATTTTTCATAATACTATAGAGTTGGAAGGAGAATAAAAAGCATGGTATAGTATAAAAAGATCTGCCAATTAAGATATCACGTCGTTTCTAGAATAGAATTTATATATGTTCTTAAATGAGACTTTGTAAAGATGGAATGCTAGAGTTTCCGTGCTTGTCTCTGATTCCTTTTCAGATTGTTTCATTTTACATGTTAAATAAAAGATTTTCTAACAGTCAGCTCTTTAAATTCAATTTGAGTTCTGAAAGTCTGCCTCTCTTCTTTCTGGCCTTCGCAGCTTATACAAAACAAAACAAAAAACCTTTTACACATCCCATGCAAGTGTATTGACTTCAACTTGTGCAGCCATTTACACCAATTCTGAATTAAATTAAAAAATTAAAATGCAGTTTATGAGTACCATTGCTACCTCAGGCAGATTAGAATCTGACTTCCAGTGTAATTCTTTAGGTAAGTCTGCATTGCAAATAGTAGTAAAAGGTAAAGAAAGATGTTTTATTTCTGTATTTATTTTACAAAATATGTTGCTATGACTATAGTGTCACAACCCAAAGTTGTGGTTTTTCTTGTTTGTGTGTGCTTCGGCATCGCTAAATCATGTTCCCGCCAAATTGCAGCTCTTTTGCACGGTGGAGTGTTCTGTTGCAATTAAGAACCCGCGTGCAGGAGTTTTTCCCACCAGTTCTGTAGCTTTCTTTGCATAGTGCATTCCTTTTGCATTATAGTGATGCACAATGCAAAGGAGTTCCTGCCATTTGTATTTAGATTCGTGCCACATTATTGGCCGGTTCTAAATGTAGGCATACGGGGTGGCTAGCTATTGGCTTGCTAGCCGTACAAAAGGCTTGGGTAGTTTCCGCCCAAGTCGGAGAGAGAGAAAGCACGTGGAGTTTGGGAAAGAAGCGTGAGGATTTCTAAGCGCTGCTGATCCCTACGAACCCAGCTTTTTCCTTAAGAGGGCACAGAGGTTTAATTTGTTGAACCCACGGAGCTTCAACAACTCCGGGGGACCTATTTACCGAACCCTTGGAGCCTTAACAACTCCGAGGCGCACAACCTCTAGCCTCTCCCCGACGCCAATCGCAGTCCAGACGTATCCCTATCCTAAGGACCCAATTGTCGAATCCACGGAGTCTTAACAGCTCCGGGGGACCTGGGAACCGAGTAACCCCCGGAGATACAGCTGCTCCATGAGAACGAATTATTGAACCCGCGGAGCCTAAACCACTCTGGGGTCAAGGAACCGAGTCTATTAGAGTCCTCCACCAAGAACTCAAGCGGAGCTGTGCCTGGAAAGCTGACCAGCCTACACCGCGACCACCTTGGGTGTAAGTAAATAATCTTTTCAATCAACCATTACGCCTCCGTGACTGATTCTAGCTCGAGCGTACCATACCGCGCCGCGGTTTTCTCCAACCCCGCGTGCCCAGGCTGCTGGCCACAGCCTGTGTGCACAAAGACGGGCCCGGCTCGCCCCCGGCGACCCAGATGGGATCGGGAGAGAACTCGCACATGGCGACCCAGGTGGGATCGGGATATAGCACATATAGATATAAGTATCAAGCAGATCTGTTGAGTAAGGTGATGTGATTTTTACAAAATCACTTGTCAGGGTAGAACTTCATGTTGAGAACTCTGGCATTTGTTTAGCCTTTTAAAGAATATATTGCAAAAGATCACTGAATTTACTTGAATAGGGATTATATGTAGATTATTTATTTAATAAATGAGTAAAAATTGTAATGACTTTACTGCGCATTTTAAGCATTGATTTCAAGAATCTGTAGTTTACGTGGTCAGATGCACCTTATTAGCTATCGGTGTGTTTATAATGGTCTCCCTAGAGAATGCTTAAGATTTGTAGCTGAATAAAGGCATAAAAATAATTATTTTTCAAGCATAAGGGAATCCATATATATTTTGAAAAAAAAGTTGAATGTTATTCAATAATTCCTTATTTTTAAAGGATGTCTCTCATGGTATGATGGCGTAACCTAATGCACACCTAATCTTACTACCTTTTTGTCATTTTTTCTTCTTTACCATGTCTTGGAATTACTTATTTCAGATTCCTGTGTGAACAGTACTGTCCAGATATTAACTAATCTGTCTCAGGCTCAGATCCTAGTTTTTTCTATTACCTCCTAAGTAGTTAACTTTGTTTTTCCTTTTAGTAAGTCATTTGAAACTTTGAAAATGAGCCAATTCTTTCTCTGTCTCTCTCTCAGTGATCCTATATTTCGCTCAAAACCTAAGGTACTTCAGATTCTATATTACTTCCATATGGGTTGGCAAAATCTTAAAAAAATGGTCAAATGTATTTGAAATTTGGCTGTTTTAAAACTGTTTTCATAATATTTAACACATCCTTTTACAGCACCTTATATTATACAGCTGTTGATTTTTGCCAAATATTATACTACTTGTTCTGTTTTATGTAACATAACATAGTTCTTAGAGAAATACATTAAAACATTTTCATTTAGCTTTATAAGGAATTGTATCCTGTTTTGGTGTTGCCTTTAGGAAAAGTAGAAAAAGATGTTGTGCCTTTAATTAGGCCAAAGTATCTAAGTATTTCCTATGCCCGTAACATGAGGTTAAGTATTGGCCTGTGATCTTAGACAAACATGCTTGCACCACACACATAGCAGAACTGAAGCAGAGTATCAGGTGTTGTTGCTGACAGTGTCTGAATTTAGACTACAAAGCAAGTAAGTGTGTAATGGTTTCCTATTGCCTGAAGGGCTTTAGTGGAGTCTTTGGAATTCAGAGCTGAAATTACTGACAGAACAAGGGTCATTTGCTTCAATTAGATCCATAAGTCACAATTTGGTCATGGCATTTTATCCTACTGGTTTCCTCTTAGGCATAATTGCCAAAAAGTTAGGCTTGATTGCACAGTCACCTCTCTCAAACAGTCTTTATTTATTTATTTATTTTTACAGATTAATGTCTTATCATGCAACAGATAAATGATGTAGTAATTACCTTATGATAGCATTCTGCTATCACCCATTCAGGCACAGATATAGATCTAATGATGATCTGACACATACTTTTACACACCCAATTTCCTTGCTTCTTCCAGAAATAGCAGTGTTATCTCCATTTACTTGGACTAGGATAAAAAAAAAAAATCCTTAAATCCGAAAGGTAGGGTGGAGTAAGATAGATTTCTTATCCGTTTGTGCCTCAGAGCTGCTTCTCCAAGTGTCTTGCCTTTTTAGGTTTTGTGAACTGGAGAGCACTACAGTACATTCCATACAGGGCCAACAGGTTCAATTACAAGTGTGGAGCCCATGCCTGTTCCATTCATAAGTGAAATATACTGCATAAGAACATACAGACTGCCAAGAATTGCTCACTAACCTGAGGTCCCCAATCTAAAACAAACAAACAAAACAAAATAGCACCTTTTTATATAGGTATGGAATTTTCTTTCTATTACTACTACAATTAAGACTTAAATCAATAAAGAATTATATATTTAGAAAAACTTAATGCCCACTCTCCAATTACTTTTTGTGGTAGATGATAGAAAAGAAAGATTTTTGATTTTGGAGTAAAGAAAACATTTCTCAAAGTGAAGAAAAAAATAAAAATCTGTTTGTGTTTATATATACACATAAACTTAATTTGTCCAATCAGCTATTTCAAACAGTAAAGCTGTGGTTCTTTTCTTTTAGCACTCTTAGGCCAGGTACAGACATTGCACATAAACATAAGGAATCTGGAACTGGTCTATACTTAACAGAACAGAGGTTTGGGGCACATAGACTGGTTTAAAAGTAGCAGAACCTGGTCTAAGATAGACCTGGATTGATGAGGTAG